GGGGTGACTAGAATCGATAATGGAATTGTTTGCAAAAATGGCAAACAATTCCAAGGAATTGAAACAGTGGGAACCGGTTCTCAACAAGAACTGGGTTTCGATACCCATCCCTAGTCTCGTTCCAGCGGTGGGTCTGTGCCAGACAAACCCATCAACCTCAAACACTGCCACTTTTGTGGAAAAAGAGAACACTAGAAGGAAGACTGTCCCAATTGGAAACTCCAAAGGGCTGAAAGAAGAGGAGAACCAGTTCTGGGCAGATTGAGGATGGGAGGACTGGACTCCAGATGGAGCTGCAGGCTGGTTTGCCCATGACATCATGCTTTGCATGCACACACTCTGTTAAACCAAGCTATTGTCCATCCCTTTGATGGGCAGAAAGAATCTGCCCATCACCTGAAGGAACACATGTGCATTTTAACTGCAAATCTAAACTGATGTGCACTGTTACTGTCACTGTACCAAATACTGTATAGGCATGTACTGTTAAGCTACGAATAGACACAGGGTCTGGTGTTTCTATACTGCCTGAACATGTTTACAGTATAAATTCCAGCTCAGTTAAGTTAAGTAATCCTGCTACTCAGCTTATTACATATTCAAAAGAGAAACTGAATGCATTAGGATGTCTTAGAGCTGATCTTACTTACAATGGCATGAGTGCCTCCACAGATCTCTACATTGTGAGAATAGAGACATCCATACTAGGCATGGACTTAGTGACTGCCCTCCAGCTACACATAAAAGGGGAATAATTAGTCCTTGAGAGTCCCAAGGTCTGTGCTACACTTCCACAAACCTCATCTCTGCCCACTTACTGCAGTTGCATTCGGATGTGCAAAGGACTTCATACACGAAGTAAAGGTGCGACCAGGGAGTGAAGCCAATACAGCAGAAACGTCGATGCTTACCCTTGTCAGTCCGTGATGCCGTTTCCACAGAACTCAAGAACCGTGAGGAACATGGAATCATGGAGAAAATTGATGTATCTTAATGGGTCTCCCCGATTGTAGTCACTAGAAGGAAGACTGGTGGCATACGCATGTGCGTTGATTTGAGAGAACCTAACTAAGCGCTGGTTGTTGACAGTCATCCCTTGCCACTTATTGAGGACCTATTGTCTGAGTTGTCGTATTCTCCACTCTGGATGTTAAATCCGCCTACCATCAGCTGAAACTACATGTAGAGAGTAGAGGGCTCTTTGCTTTCATTACACATGAAGGACTGTACCAGTACTGCAGACTCCCCTACGGTTTGAGTTCGGTGCCTGCAGTGTTTCAAAGGATGATGACATGGTGTCAAGTGGCCAAAAAGGGGTGCAATGTTATATTGATGATGTCATCATATATCAGAAGATGAACATGAGGCCAACCTGCGTGTTGTGATGCACACAATCAACAATGCTGAACTTCAATGTTGACAAATGTCAACTCCGTCAAACTACTCTGAGCTTTCTGAGTCAAAAGAACGGTCCTACCTAAAGACTGTCCATTCCACTGGAACAAAGCAGCTCAAGCAGCTGGATTGTTCCATCCAATTCCTTTCTGTAGTTTTCTCTCATGAAGGGAATCCAAACACATTGATAAGTGACAATGGCTCTCAATTTCACTCTGCTGAGTTTGCTGACTTTCTTGAAAGCAGGGCAATCCAACATCTGAGATCCTCAGTGTATTACCCAAGAGCTAATAAGGAAGTTGAGAGATTCACAGCCTGGCAGAATAGAATGGCCCTGGACATGCTCTTGGCTGAGAAAGGGGGGGCATAAATAACCCCTTGGATGACTGGTTTAGTAGTCATTTTGGTAAGAATAAAGCAATAATAGTATCTTTGTTAATGTCCATATCCACCTTTGTTGCCATACTCACGTGCTGTGGCTGTTGCTTCATCCCATGCAAGTGAGTAGGATAAAAGAAGGTGAATCTCCTAAATTGCAGTTACCCCTGTTACAGGCTGAGGAGGGGACAGAGATGAGGATAGTGAGAGCGAGGGTGAACATTAAAGTGTGAAACTGTTTTTTCTGACACTGTAGAATGATGTGAAATCTCTTTGAGTGCAATGTTGTTGGAGGTCAATCTCTAGATGGCGGCTAAGTGAAAAACATGGTCATAATTTTCTCTTTGGGAGAAGTGTTCAAGGATGAACTGAACTGTAGATATAGATATGCAGGGATGTTTAAAGGGGCAGGTGCTCAGAGTTAAAAAGGGACACATAGAAACCAGGCTGAATAACAACAAACCACATTCATCAAGAATCTAATATGGAATAGCATCATACTATATCACTGTCCAAAGGTGGGGACAATGCAAACGTAGCCTATGTTTTATCTGATGGGGTACAATGTTGCTGTTGAAGGGTTGCTGCTGCTCCTGCGGTCTTGATCTGAGACAGTAGACATAAAATGTCCATAGGAGAGATGGTAGCTGATTAAAGAAGTGTTATGAGATAATAATAAAATGCAAAGATTAGTGACAGCGCTTGGAATCATAAGGCAAGAGGTTAAAAAAACTGTGGGAAATAAACTAGGCTCTGCCTGTGACACACTCTTTGCCTCTCTTCCTCCTTCCATCTCCTCATCTGAGCTATCACTCTTCATATGCTGTCCATCTGAGAACAAGGCACAATTTGCTATTGCATTAATTTATTATTTAATTATCCACACTTAACAACTCTTGCACCCAATCCACAATAAAGTAATGATAGAAAATGTTATAGAACCAAAACATTGCAATTATGTTTGTTATTGTTTTATACTTAACTCTGCAATGCAACAACTGGTACATGTGTATTTTTACCTGTACTCTTTTTAATCCAGCTGGAGAGTGATCCGATGCCTTAAGCAGCCTCACATAGCTCCTTTTGTCACTGTTTACTCCCAATGTCCTTACATGGCATGTCTGGAGAATGTTATATCATGAGTAATAATTTTGAAAAATCTATACACATAAAACATGCACACACGCACATGCACATAGTGTGACATTGTACACCTTTTTTCAAAATACTGTATATATAGCAACAGGTTTTCATCATGGTGCTGATCCAGAATCATTCCCTTACTGTTTATTCCTAGTCGTATAATAATAAGTACTGAGAATTTTTTTAAGTAATAAATATAAAATAATTTATTTATAATGATTCAGTTTGTTTCACTATCAACTCTGTGCAAGGCAGAAAGGTTCTCTTCTTGTTTGGGTCTTGGCATTTGGGTCTTCCCTCCCTTAACTTTCCTGCTTGGTTTTTCTTGTCCTTGTCAAGTTTTGTCTAACTCTCAGAGACTCTCTCCATCTTGTTCTATAAGTCAAGAAATTATGGATTTGATCAAGTGGTCTCTTAATGCAAATGACACCATCTTCTTGATGAGAAGCCTGGGATTGGGTTATCCTGATTGTCCTGCAGGAATCTTTCTGGCTGGATACACGATGGACGGCTGGAAGAAGTGGCGGGTCATGTGCCTGGCAACAATCTCGATGTAGGACATCTACCTTTTCGGAACCATGATAAAGGGGTTCTTGCTGATTGGAGCTGGCTTATCGACTACTAATGGAAGCGGTTTACCCAATTCACCCAAATAACAAGATGGTGTATGACTCTTTGCCCTATCCTCCTACTTCTTCAAGATCACCTGTGTCGGCTTGGGGATTGCTGACCATTGCTTACAACTAGGTGAAAGGGCATTGTATGTATGGTCGGAAGGGGTCCCATTTCACTGCAGGTAACATGTACGTGTAACACTGCAAGTGACAATTAAAGGCATAATCAATCAATAATCATCAAAATCTTATTAAATGTTTAAACTGTAGAGATACAATAATTTGGGTGATGTAAAATCAGCATTTTGTCATATTTGAAATATAAATCTAATATAATCTTTTTCTTAATGTATTTTCTTTAAAACACAATGCGTTTTTTTCTATCATGATTATAATAATCCACAATTATGTGGATATGCATATTAGATAGTGTTAAGTGAAATATAAGCCCTCCAAAAGGCAGGCTGTAACTTACTTTAAAACTAAATAACCTGGTGGACAGAGCTACAGACTCATGACACCCTCACCCAGTTAGCTAACAGCTATGACCAGCACTACTGTTGCACACACAGTACGCTCATTTGTTTCAATATGGAATTATCACTCAGTTTGTATTTTTCCCAGATTAAAGAAAACTTTAAAACTGTTTTTAAATCCTAAAAAATATATGTGTAAGAGTTTAGTTTGTCTTATGTTGATACACTGGAAACAAAGCAAGACACAAAGAACAGAAAGTCCCATCACATGAGTTTTATTTTGGTATTTATTTAAAAAACATATGTACAAAAATGTAAAAAAGTTCAAGTCCAGACTATATAGGCACAAACACACATGGGAACAAAACTGGCAAAGTAACCAAAAAGAATATTGGCTGTCTTGTATTTGCTGTGAGTTCTTCTAGTTCAACAACCGTGTTTCACGAGTGCAGCTGGTAGGTCGTGCAGTGTATTGTTTAGATCGCAGCAGTACTCTGACCAGCAGTCGTGATCTTTACAGCTCCTTTCCTCCCTTGCCTGAAGAAACAAGTGAGATTATTAGTGACAAGCAACACAGACGTTTAGTTTGTCATCTTCACACAGAGTTGTGCGTGCGTGTCATTCTGAACTTGACTTACTTTTTTAAGTAAGTTTTAGTAAGTAAGATTTTTTAGAATGTGTCGTCCAAGTGTGGACTCTGGACTCACACACTTCTTCATATCTGCTTTTGTGGTAACACTGAAAGATTTTTAAAAAGAGGTGTATTAGAAAGGAGCTGGAGAACACAGCAGAATTGTGCCTCAGATCATCTTGTGGACTCACATGATTTCTGTATGTGGACAGAAGATACTTGGTAGTGTATCACTGGCTTAGCCTTGATGAGCTTTGGGCTGATTCTGCCAATGTAACTGTAACACTTGCATTTATTAGATTTGCTGGCTGGTTGTCCTGTATAGGAAAAGACAAGAGCATTACCCGTTGATCAGCAGCCAAAATATCCATAAACAGGATGAAGGGGGAAAAAAGAAACAAAGAAGGAAAAAAAAAAATAAGATTTTCACAGTACCTTGTGCACCTAGGATAAGCAGGCAGGCAATGAAGGCAGTGACTGAGTTCATAGTTGTGGCTGTAGGCAGATCCGCTGTTCACAGTTTCTGTCTTGAGTATGGCTCCTGATGCTGTGAAGTAAGCAGCACGCTGCCTGCACAAGTGGCCCCACCCCCAAGAGGTGTTTTGCAACATTAATTTCACTTTCCAGAATGCTTTTACTTTCTTCTTCTTCTTTTTCCCCTCTACAAAGCCCATTTCCCAGAATCATAGACTTCACCCATAGCTTTGAAACAACGAAAGAAAACAACAACATGACTCCCTTTCTGCAAGCCCTTTAAAATGAGTCCAGTTATGAGTAACTGAAATGACAATTTTTTTTTAAGAGAGAGAATCTTTGAGCTGTGCATTTAATTGCTGATGGACAACATGCATGTTCCATAAAGCATGTGTAACTGACATACAAAGTCTAATCATGACTTATAGTGGGTAGTCAAGAATAGACATTGTTTTATAAATGGCCACCATTAAAGGAAAGGGTATTTTAATGTCTTAAATAGCTGTTAAAATGTTTCTTTAATTTTGTTAAAATCAACTTATTATTCCATGACTAGCAGTATATGCACTTTTCTTCATTCATTCAAATATTGTATAATGTTTCCACTTGTACACTGTATACAAACCCACACAGTCTCTAGTTAGCTAGGAAATTACAAGAATGCTAAGTCATAACTTTACATTCACATAGATTACATCCCAGAGCAATTGCTTTTGTATTGTCAGTATGTGTCCCTATTTCAAATTATCACCAGTGATTTCTGTGGAAAAGTGATGTGAAACTCAAACAGACTGAGGAAAACACCGTGCCAAATGTTTCAGTTAAATTCTGAATGAACTCGATGAAAGTAGGGCCTTGTGTTTTGAAAAAAATCAAGTTGGATCCACACATCCGAGTGCATCCAAAATAATAATAATTTTCATGTAAATCGAGAAATGAGAAGAAAGTTTGCAGATTATGAAGAATTTGTAGCATGCTATTTATTTCAAAAGTAGGATGTCATGCCATATAGAAGGCACTATGGCAGAACTAAATGAACATGTCATAAATCCAGTTGAGCTTTCACAACTTCAAATCATTGCAAGTCTGTAGATTTCTACGCAAGCAGTCTGACTAAACTAGTAAGAGTTTCACACATGGAAGTCTCAAACCATTACTAGTGTACTAGTATTGGCGACTAAGGTATATATTTTTAATGAATGCCTAGAAAAAACTCCTAATTACTACTGAATTTTGTATGTACAAAGACCATTGAACCTATTTACACTCTTTCTAACACAGATATATGAAGGATGAAGGGACTATGCAGTTGAAACTCCAAGTGTGTACCTGTGGACAGCCTGACCACCTGTTGAAGGTAACGGACTAACATGGCTAATGCTAGCATCTCTTTTAAGATCATCTTGGCTTAGAAAAATAGCCAGCAGTACTAGCTAGTTACCATTTTTAGTAAGCCAGTGTGTGCTTCACAAGTAAAGCTTGAAGCAGCTCAGACAATTTGAACCAACACTGAGCCCTATTACACAGTGTTAGAACAATTGTTGCAATCTACAGCCTCGTGAATAAAATGTTCTCTGTAAACACAGATGTTACCACATTTCTTTCTGCTACTTTAAGTGAAAAGAACTGAGACATGGTAATAATAACAAATAATAGCTGTCAGTTCTCTCGTTCCTTATATTACTGCCCTCAATCAAGACAGGAGATGACACAATTCAATTCAATTCAATTCAATTCAATTTTATTTATATAGCGCCAAATCACAACAAAAGTCGCCTCAAGGCGCTTCATAGATACAGA